ACACCACGCTGGGCAGAAGTGCTGATGTGCTTGAGGGTAGAAAGGCTCTACAGAAGGTTCTGGACAGGCTGGATCGACAGGCCGAGGCCAACTGTATGCGATTCAACAAGGCTAAGTGCCAGGTCCTGCACTTGCGTCACAACAACCCCATGCAACACTACAGGCCTTGGGAAGAGTGGCTGGTGAGCTGCCTTGCAGAAAAGGACCTGGGGGTATTGTTCGAGAGCTAGCTGAATATGAACCAGCAGTGTGCCCAGGCAGCCAAGGCAGCCAATAGCATCCTGGCTTGTATCAGAAATAGTGTGACCAGTAGAACCAGGGAAGCGATTGTCCCCTTGTATTTGGCACTGGTGAGGCTCTACCTCAAATACAGTGTTCAGCTTTGGGCCCCTCACTACAAGAAAGACATTGAGGTGCTGGAGCATGTCCAAAGAACAGTAACAAAGCTGATGAAGGGCCTAAAGAACAAGTCTTATCAGAAGCAGCTGAGGGAACTGGGGTTGTTTAGTCTGGAGAAGAGGAGGCTCAGGGGAGACCTCATCCCTCTTTACAACTACCTGGAAGGAGGCTGCAGCGAGGTGGGGGGGGTTGGTCTCTTTTCCCAAGTAGCAAGTGATAGGACAAGAGGAAACGGCCTCAAGCTGCACCAGGGGAGGTTTAGATTGGATATTAGGAAAAATTTCTTCACTGAAAGGGTTATCAAGCATTGGAACACACTGCCCAGGGAAGTGGTTGAATCACCATCCCTGGAGGTATTTAAAAGACGTGTAGATGTGACACTTAGGGACATGGTTTAGTGGACTTGGCAGTGTTAGGTTAACGGTTGCACTCAATGATATTAAAGGTCTTTTCCAACCTAAAGGATTCTATCAGTCTGTGATTCTACCATGTCCTCCAACAAAACTGTTGTATGTACTACTTCTGAGAAATAAAGCCAAATTAATTTTTACCTTAGGCAGGATGTCCGTAAAGACAAAAAACCTAATCACACATGATCAGTTATCTGATGCACCTACTTAGAACAACTGAATGATAACTGGAATACAAATGTTTTAATATTACTTAAAGGAGACTAAGTACACTGCTTTCAGTCTGCAACAATTTCCTGCAAAAACAGAAACCATGCTGCAAAGAGATATTTAAATGTTTTGCCTCTGGGAAAAAGAACACTTACACCCAATGTTACCCTACCTTGCTAATACCACCAGTTCCCCGATTCAAAGCTTTATGCCCAATAAATCCACTACAGTAAAAGCTCTGTGTTTTTTCCCCTCTGTCCTCCCATTCACTCTCTCACCCTTCAGCTATCCACTAAAAAACACCTGGGTAGGAAAAACTCCATTTCCAATCACTGCAAAGAAGGAGGAAAGTTTTCCATAGACAAGCCCAAGCATCTCTGCCTCATTTGCTCTTCAGGGACAACTGCACTAGTGATATCCAGAACATCTGTCACAGCAGTGAAAACCAATAAAGACTTTGTACCCCTCCAAATAAAGCACACAATAAATAAATTAAAAAACCCCTTCTATTTAATGCATTCTACAATACCTTTCCTACCTGCCCCTTGTAATAGCCATTTATCCCCAGGAAATCCCAAGACAGCTCCCAAGACAGGGGAGCTTTTTATCTATAGCTGGAGAAATCAGACAAAGATGCCAGTGACCTACCCAAAACTCATACAGGAAGTCTGTCAGAAAGAAAAAGAAAGGAGAGATTGAAATCAGTTTCCCAGCTACTTGGTGATTCTCCATCTGAAAGGCCCTAGGATCCTATGCCAAGGGGCATAAGTACATCAGACAAGCTCATAAAAACTGGATTTTCAAGTTTCAGCTAGACCACAGAACATACAATAGCTTTGCTTACTGTGAAGAAACAGATGTTGTTACTACACGCATCACAAACATGCAAAACACCTACAAACAAATTACCAAGAGCATTTTGTGAATAAATACAGAACTCCCACAAGAGGACGTACACTTCCAGTTAAGGAATTAAAGGAAGACTTTTCCTGCTTTTAATACTTTCCTGCCAGATGCGCAGTAGGAGGGGCAGGGAAATATACTTGTCTTCTTCACATTCTTTTTTAAATCTCCTCCTGGCATTCTGTCCTTTATGAACTTACTGGATAGCCCTCAGACTGTTGAGCTTACTCAAGTCACATAGGTTCTGGAGAGAGAAGACAACTTACTTTACACATAATGCTCCCTTCATTGCTCACTCCTTTAAAGCTTGGTACACCAGAAAGCTATGATAAATTTGAAGGTAATAACTACCTACAAGGCCAAGTGATGGTATGCCCCTTTCAAAAGCACACTGCATTATGGGGTAAAGGTTAAATATTCTGTTCCTACAGCTTCTTAAATTACTTCCCCTAAAAAAATGCATTCAGGAGAAATTAAGTTTTCTACTCTTTTTGTCTTTGCTTTCATTAGGTCTGTTTTACAGTGGATTAAGTAGGCTAGTTAGCAATTTAGTATTTGCTTTGGCTCCTGCACTATTTAATTTCAGCATAAACCTTAATTATTATTTCCTATTAAACATGTATCTCAAATATCTGCAGTGAAAAAGCAGCAAGACTAACAATGGATAACATTCTGGAAACTTTTCTTATGAAGAAGGTAGAAGACCTATTTGCATGCTCTCAGCCAGGGAAAAAACACTACATAGATAAAAGTCACTGAATTTCTCTTCATAGCTCTTTAAAGGTGCCTTAAATTCAGCTGTGGCCAAAATTAGGAAAGTACACCCAGCAGCAGATAGTCCACCACCACAACCAAAATGGAATACTTGCAGAGAAAAATGTTAGAGCAATGAAACTAGCAGTGGCAGCATAGTTTAGCAAGCCTTTTCAGTATCTTTTATAGCAGCCTGCTCCATAAAGAAAGAAAGAAGTCAAGAGGATGCATTAGAGGTATTAGAACTTATCTTGCTAAGTTACTTGCACATTCAAACAACCTTCATTTCCTACAAACAGGTGTGCTGATAAGTTTGATTACCTGCCAAAGAAAGAAAAAACTCAAGGACTGTACATGTAACAGGTATTCGCATTGGAGACATTTCTAATATCCTAAACCATACATCTTACGTTCTTTAATTGCTTCTGCACACTTAGCTGTATTTGTGCAACAGCAGGGATGTTAAACCACTATGATAAAAGAGAAAAATGTATTACCACTCTTTAACACAAAAACATTGATAAATAAAGACAGAAGGTATGTCCTTTAAAACATGTCCTTTCTCTGACTACAAACAGACATTTATCTCCCAAAGTTCTCCTCTTGGTTGTCTGTTTGAGAAGACATATTCCAGCACATACTACCATAGTCAGTCATTTTCAGAATGTGGCTAAAGGGTAAGATAAGATCACTTATCTACTACCATCACACCCTAGCCACCCACACAATTTGTACACAAGAATACTCTCAACTTCTTCCTCCAGTACAACCAGGAACAAGGAAACAAAGAACATTCTACAAGACTTTAGCAAAACTGATGATAAAAGCTTACTGCAGATTACGAAATGCAGCTTTTTCTTGTACTTATTTAAGGGTCTCTAAAAAGAAGCCACTGGAGCAGATTTCAAGGGAAAGTCTCTTTTGCAAAGCTTACTCAGGTTAGCCTCATTCTCTCATTTTATACTCCTTCAGAACTCATTCATGATGCAGAATGTTCTTGGAACAGCCACAAATTAAGAAAAGCTGATTCTGAATTTCAGTGACATATCAGTCCAACCTCTGGGTTCCGACAAATGCAAAAATTTGCCTCGCTCATACAAGCATTGACATTAGTCAGTACCTCAGAATTCAGCATGAATGCAATAGCAAGACTGATTTTCACATATTAATATTACTGCACAGCCATCTCCATGGAAGACGTGCAGGCTTTAACCTACTGTGACTGGCACCCCCTGCTCCTGACCCCGGTAATAAAAAACCTGCTTCCGAGCTTAACAAAACAGTGAAAATTCTCCAATATTGATGGTCATGAAACTGTGTACACATAGCCTGACATCCCTTGACAATACAAGAGCCACACTACCACAGTTAGAAAAGGCCTTCTCACTCCAAAAAGGGAAGAAGATGACAATTTCAACTTCAAATGTATGTTCAAGTAATTTCTTTTATTGATAGAAAGATACCCCCAAAAGTTCAGAGTATTTTTCACCCCTCGCTCTGGAGGTAAATCTAAGGACATATCAGCCAGGCTCATGATTTATACCTCCTCATTTTCTTCCTACAGACAAACTTGCCATCTATCTTCAACAGAAAGAGACAAGTACTTTTCTTAAGATAAAGAAATGGCATAAGCTATCAATATTAGCACATGTATTCATTCTCTAGCCACCCAGAAGTGGCTGAGAGGAGAGCAATCTGAAGTCTTGCCTGTCTCAACAGGGACTTACACTCTCAGCAGAATTTTCAGGCTGCTGCTTCTTTAGTAAAGCCAGGGTACTAAGACCTTCTGACAACCATTTGGCATCAATGTAATTTTTTTGCTAGCTCCTCTCAATTCTCCAGAGTTCCCCATCTTATTTCTACTCTGAACCCTCAGTGTCTTCATAACTCATTTGTTGTGCCACTCTGTCAATATTTTTTGTTTCCTACTGTTATGGCTATACAATTTAGACAATTAATGAAAAGCAGAGACTTACACTCTTGCCTTGCTCCTTGCCTAGAAATTCTACTTAGTGCACAGGCAGTCACAGATGCTGCAATCTGATAACTGTTTTAAAGCGTCACATTTAGTACCCATAAAACCTTCTGTGGTGATATGTACAGAGTTTTCTTGTGGTGAGAAGGAGCAGAAGGAAAAAAAAGACCTGTTTTAAGTTTTGTTTGAGTCTCAGAAAAGAAGAGGCTAACAGTTTTACTTTCTTAGACTACTGCATGGAAGATTCTCAAGCTGCTACACTTCTTAACTGTTAAGGGCCAAGTGACTTACTCTACTGTCATGGCTTTTTACTTCTGTATGCATGCACAGTGCTTAAGAACAATCCATACCTTATTTGTAGCAGTAGCACTGGATCCTGGGACCACAGGCACGTTGGTCACTTGCACTGATAAGTAGTTATTGTCTATGAGGGGCCAAGCACCTTCCACTTTGCATGTCTGGAAGCGATCCTTAAAAGTCCTCAGATGAGGATCACCAAACAAGCCACAAAATAGGTAAGTAGGAGAAAGAGTATTCTCCCTTCCCTGATGTTCTCTGGCTTCTGTGTGGCCACTGTAATTGCAGGGATCATGGGTGGCTTCAGGGTTGGTGGAGGATGTGGGTCCATCTTTGGAACAGTTTCTCTGGCTCATGAGGTCACTGATCCCAAGCACTGCAGAATGGTAGACTAGGTTTCCACGGCATACTTTGGAATTGCGATAGGTACAGGCAGAGTACGCTCGCAGGGCCTTGCAGAACTCCAAATCAAAGCCCTCAAGAGCTGAGTTTAGATGTGAAGTTAAGGATACAAAATCAGTGGTGCACTTCTGGATTCGACAAGGTGTTTGCAGCTGGCAGTCACCTAAACACAAAACAGATGGCAGAGAAAAATCAAGCAAACCTCTTAAATTGCAATACCCCATTCCACACTCACAGGTACTGGAGAAAACAACTTGAAGACAACTTACAGTGGTGGAACACTATATAATAGAGAAAAAGGGGTTGGGAAGTAGAAAGATAGCAATACAGTCCATCTCAAAGGTGCATGACTTAATCTATTACTTGATATTGTCTAGATGGAAATTAAGAGCACTAACTCCTGCCAAGCATGAACCCAGAATTTCTTTCCAGATATCAAGGTGATGCAATCCTGTGCTTCAGCTGATCACTTAGTCAGTAAGCAAGTCTCCACTTAGTCTTTACACAAGTTACTGAACTTTTAAATAGAATCCTGCCCCTCAGAAGAATGTGGTAAAGGCAGCAAGCAATACACATTTAGACAAAAACAGATTGAATGAAGCAGAAATCAAAGTTTCTCTTGTAGAAAGCAGGGTAGGGGAGAAGCAGGGTAGGGCCATAAATGCAGTTTACTTTATTTCCCTGGCACTGCCATAGCTAAAGCTTCACTGCTTGCTTTCTGGGACTAATGAGCGAGAAAACCCACAGCTGTCTGAAGTGCAAGTTGCCAGCTAAGGAAACCGTACACTGTAATTAGCAGCGCCTCTTACAGTGTAACTCAGTAATAAGACAAGGGGCAAAGAAACCCTCTCCCCACGAAAACCTGAAGTACTTATCAGATGTACGCAACAGGTACACAGTTCAGTTTACATGAACAAACCAGTCAGACCTTATCTGGTCACCTGATTTCCACAAAGAAAGCATAATTACCATCACAGCAAGCAAACTGGAGTTTTACAGTCCTCTCCTCCACAGCTCTCGCTGTCATGATCTGAAACCCTTCCAGATTCTCATGGCAGTTAACAACAGTCTTCTGCAGGTTAACTTTTACACAAGAACTCATGAGGAGCAGAAACGAAACGAACAAGACTGCACTAAAGGAAACAGAGCCACAAGTTCCAAGGGGGTTAAAACTAGGAGGGCCCCAGTCAAAGGAGAGAGCAGGTTCCCTCCCATCCTGCTGA